ACAGGTTACAGTCATCAGTTGGGCACCCTTTAATTATTATACCCTCTAATTATTCAGCCTAACTGTTAACAAACATTCACTAGCATTAGCAAACATTTCAACTACTGTTGTAGTCACCAGACATTTCAGTTAGCTCGTCAAATAGCTACCCAAACTTTCTGCTCCTTTTTCAGTTCAAGTCAATTTTAATTTTATTGCACTAAATCACAACAAAAGTCATCTTTATATTTTTACAAACTAAGGTCTAGATGTTACTATTGTTATTATTTTTATTATTATTATTATCATTATAACAAAAAAAAACCCAACAAGTCCCCCTTGAGCAGCACTTGGCGACAGTTTTGAGGAAAAACTCCCTTTAACAAAGGAAACCTCAAACAGACAGGCCCTGGCTCTTGGTGGGCAGCCTTCTGCCTCGACTAGTTGGGGAGAGTGGATAGATGATAGTGTATAGAGGAGAGGATAGTGGATAAGGATAATCGCCTTTATTCGCCAAGTATGTTACACACAAGGAATTTGTTTCCGGTACAGAACCGAGGCAGCCATCTGCGGCACCACCTCAACCAATGGCTCTAACCATCGGGGGGCAACAGTGTCTTGCCCAAGGACACTTCAACATGTGGACTGCAGGCACTGAGATTCGAACCTTCAACCTCCCAGTTGGGAGACTATTGCTCTACCCACCGTCACCTCCCCTATAGTGGATAGAGGAGACAAGATAGTGGAGAGGAGAGGAGAGGAGAGGAGAGTTTAGGTTGCAGCCTACCTCTGTGCGGTATAGAAAATATTTCTAATAATTTCCTTTCTAGTGTGGAAGGACGACTCCTCCTCACAGGTCCTTGTTAGGTACTTTTAAGAGGTCAGCTGGTTCCCCCCAGCACATCCTTCTGCCTGTCTCCTCCTTGTCCTGACTAATTCTCTCCTCCTGCTCCTTCAATGGCCTCATTTTCTCCTTCATTCATCTCAGAGATATAGCTCTCCACGATCTTCCTAGTTTTGATTTTTGTGGCTCTTGGCAGTCCCAGGACCTCCTCTACAGGCGCTTTCTTGCACTTTGTCCTGCCTTTATCCTCCCCCTGATGTCTCCTCCTCTCCTGCTGGTCACCCATGTTATCTGAAACCAACAGTATAAGAAAGTGTAAGTCTGGAGTTGTACACCAACAAGGACGAGTTAACAGACACCATTTGTATCATTGCTATGTTGTAAATTGCTACAGAAAACATGTTGGCCTGGCACTTCTCCTCACCATTACTGTACACAGAGACCAGACAATGAGCAAAACCACACTGCAGACATTTGATCACTTTATGCTACTCAGGAAAATAAAGTGGATTAATTTGCTAAACTAACACAAAATGTGCAAAGTTCCAACCTGTCAGGCTGTGTAATACACCGATCAGGTATAACATTATGACCATCTGTATGCACTTCAATGCAACACTTCTGCCTTAACTTTTTTGTTTATGAAGCTCAAAATGTTTCAGTTTTTGGTGAGATTGTCATAAATGTGTATGTTTCCTTGGTGTATCTGTGTTTGCTTCTTTCCAGGTATGCTGATTGCTGAAGTTCGGGACACTGTGAACACCTGGCTCTGCCGTCTCAGGGCTTGCTGCCTTGATTGTTTGGCTGTACTTTGTTTTGGTTGGATTCTGTTTGCACCTTTCAACACTGCAACATATACTACTTGCACAAAACAGTGTGGCTACGTTTAGGAAAAGACTGTGGCTTAGTGGTTATAATGCTCATTGATTTTATCTCCTATGGGAGAAGTCATAATGTTTTATGATTAATCCAAAATACCATTGTAGGATGAGCCTGGCCCAGACCACAAGAACACAAAACTATCTGGTCTGCAGCACCAAACATAATCCACTATAGGGTGCAAACAGGCACAGTGTGATATGTAACTCCCTCCGCAACAGCTCTCTCTCTCTCTCTCTCTCTCTCTCGCTTGCTCTCATTATCCACTAAAAACGTCAGAAAACGTTAGTGGTGAATGACCACAACTGGGAGAACATGCTGGCTGGACTCCTTTTGTGGAGTCGCAGTGTTGTTCTAATGAGCTGGGCGTCAGCACCAACAGCAGCAGCTCTTACTGGCAAATCTAATCATCAGCAGACTGCACCTCTTTGTCTGCAACTCTGTGACCTCTCTCCTGGCAGCTCTGGGTCATAGTGCAGGGCTTCCTGCACCGACGCTCAGACGTAGCAGAGAGGGACACAGACAGTAGCATGGACAGAGGAGGATCATATTCATGACAGCACAAATACTGAGTGTGAGCATGCAGCTGTATCACAGAAAGGCAAAACAGGCCTGATGCCGTTATTTATAGTGGAATATATATATGGTTTGGAACTAGAAAGTAATTTCTAATATACTTTGTTACAAATGTCATTTAACACCAAAAACCTTTAGAGAAATACTCACACATTCATTATTATTGTTGTCTTTTCAGCTCTCTTTACTGACGTGATATCAATCAATGCACTACACAGTGTTTGTCACGACAGACTAAACTCACAAAGAGTCCCAGCTGGTACATTTGCTGCTGTCACCCACCTGTGCCCCATAGGACAGCTGCTGTACTGCATACGCTCTGGAATAATAACCATTTACAGAGTGATTTAACAAACATTATAGCCCTGTATGCTACGCTGCTGAGTAAGATATTCAAAACAATGGCTGCATAGATCATTTATCTATCATGATGGGTATAAAAGTGACAGAAAGCTTGGCTAGGCAAAGCACCAGAACAGTCAGGACTAGGACTGAACACCAGAATGGGCAGAGTAAGAGAGCATTTTATGTTGTAATTTAATGTAACTTTTTGGAAGTATGTTATTTAATAAAACAAAAAATGGTTTTGAAATATACCGTTTTGTTTTCAGATCATTTTCTACGAGGACAGGAACTTCCAGGGTCGCTCCTATGAGACCAGCAGCGACTGTGCTGAGCTGACCTCCTACCTGAGCCGCTGCAGCTCCTGCAGGGTGGAGAGCGGCTGCTTCATGGTCTACGAACGTTCAAACTACATGGGCCACCAGATGCTTGTGAGAAGGGGAGAGTACCCTGACACCCAGTGCCTGACGGGAATGAGCATGAGTGACTGCATACGTTCCTGCCGCATGATCCCGATGGTATGAAGCGTTGACTCCTGATAAGCTCTCGTGTACTGTCACTGCCAGTCCAAACGATTTGACACCCCCATTTTTCCACTTTTTATTCTGTCATGTAAACAGCTCAAGTCTAGCAAATAACCTTAAATGGTACAAAGCTAAGAAGTAAACTATGAAACAAAGGAAGGAAACAAAACAGTCACTCAGTGAAAGTGCATAAAATGTCTGTAAATGTCTTATAAACCAAGCCTTTTTAAAGAATCCAGTAACAGGTTAATTCACATCTTTTTTGCAGCAGTGGAAGCAAATGACATCTAGAAACCTGATGCAAACAGTTCCTACAGGTGTCCCAACTTTTGTTGATGACCTACAGTACAACAACAAATCTTGTCTATACAAACACAGTGTTAGAAAAGAGAACAAGATGGTCGGCTTTATATGATGGAACAGCAGCACAGTGTCCAGACTTTCTAGGTGAAATGTGAAAGCAAAGAAACTTACAAGCTCAACACATCTGTGGGAATATCTGTAAGTGTTTGATTTCAGTGTTTGATTCTGTTCAGCTGTTGGATATCACTGATAATAACTGGAAAAATGGAGGTGACCCCAAACGTTTGACTGTTAGTGTAAGTAGGGTTGAAATGTAAACCTCTATAAAAACACTTAAACACACACAGCACAAAAGAAAATGTTTTAGATTTGATCATCATGTGTCACTTTACAGCACAGGGGTCCATTCAGGATGAAGATCTACGAGAGGGAGAACTTCGGAGGTCAGATGTATGAGCTGATGGATGACTGTGACTCTATCATGGACTGTTACCGTATGTCCAACTGCCAGTCTGCTCACGTGATGGACGGCCACTGGCTGATGTACGAGCAGCCCCACTACAAAGGCAGGATGATGTACCTGAGGCCCGGAGAGTACAGGAGCATGAGAGACATGGGAATGGGTCCCATGGGCATGAGGATCGGGTCCATTAGACGTATCATGGAGCCCTGTTAGACAGAACAAGCATAAGACTTAAACATGTAACCAATAAATATTAATAAACTGTTCATATCTACAAGGAATTCATTAATCTACCATCTGTATTGAAGTTCGAAACTCCAGTCAGTGATCCAGGATGACATTTTGGGTGCTATTCAAAGGACCGTTTGGTCTGTACAGAATGATGCTAGTTCAATTACTATGTCCCATAGCTAAGCTGGAATTTAGCTGAAATCTTCTGCCTATGAATTGTCGTGTGTCAAATAATGCACTTGAAATTAAAGCTGAATTTCACAGGATGAAAACAATGTGTGAAACGGTGGATGATTTTCCAGAGGTTTCCTGGAAGTACTGCAAATAAATAAACTAATTTACTGTACAAGGAGAGGTTGGAAGTAACAAAGCACAAATATGTGGTTACTGTACTTAAGTAGTAGAGTACAGCAATAAGATTCTGGGTTTGAGCCCTGGGTGACCCGAGGCTTTTCTGTGTGGAGTCTGCATGTTCTCCCTGTGCCTGTGGGTTCTCTCCGGGTACTCCGGCTTCCTCCCATAGTCCAAAGACATGCAGCTCAGGTTGACTGGGGACTCTAAAGTGCCTGTGTGTGGTTGTTTGCCTACATGTCAGCCCCATGATAGACTGGTGACCTGTCCAGGGTGGACCCCGCCTCTCGCCCAGTGTCAGCTGAGATTGGCTCCAGCCCCCCATGACCCTCCTCAGGAATAAGCGGCATAGATAACGGATGGATGGATGAATGTTTTCATTCTCCCACAAAAACAGCACAGAGATCCATTCAGGAGGAGGATCTACGAGAGGGAGAACTTTGAAGGTCAGATGTATGAGCTGATGGACGACTGCGACTCCATCAGGGACCGCTACTGTATGTCCAACTGCATGTCCCACCACCTGGGAAGGCCACTGGCTAATGTACGAGCAGCCCCACTACAGAGGCAGGATGATGTACCTGTGGCCTGGAGAATACAGGAGCTTCATGAACATGAGAATAGGAGGCAAGTGGTGGATGAGTATGAGGCATGGACATGTGCTAGCTGTACATTTTGCCTTCACTAAGATCGAGATCAAAGATTTTTTATTGTCAGTTCACTATATGTGCAGGAAATACAGAAAAATCAAAATGCTGTTTCTCTCTCACCTAATGTTGAATGCCCATACCATTTAAGAAACTAAAACAGAATAAACTCAGAATAAATAGAATATGAAGACTGAATTAAAGTAAGTAGGATACGTTTTCAGGGTGGTATGGCCGTAAGCGACAGCAACAGGCTCCACTGCGCATTTATACCATACATGCTGCAGGCTCATGTCTTTTGACATGTGTTTCACATCATCACAATATCTGCTGCCCGAGGAAATACCATTTTAACACATCGGGCCCCCTAATATTGTTGCATGCAGTTAGATTTCATGCCAGGACTTGGCAACACTCATGCATTGCTGTGTCGACTCAGCAGCATTTTCAGGGAATGTACTGAGTTTGTGCAACAGCTGATGGCTAGTCTTTTTATGTTTTGTGGTGGGCCACAGTCCAGGGGGCAGAGGGGGGGAGGGAATGGACAGCGTTCAACATCCTCACAGCCTGGTGGATGAAGCTTTTCGTAAGTCTGGTGGAGTGGGCCTGCAGACTGCGA